AGAATTCTTGCTTCAACCGAGCACATCTTGAAGAAACTTGTTTGATGTTTTCTGATGTCCAGATAAAAAAAAAAAAAATAGCAAACAACTGCTTACAATAGGTTGCTCCTGTTTCCGTGAGATTGCAAATGACAACGTTTAAAAAAAAAGAGAGAGAAAGGGGGCGCCCGTGCTGGCTCTTGACACTCCCGCTAATTACTAGTACTAGTACTAAAAACTGACGCAAGAAATACTACTGTGTAATTACTGTGGCTTCGAATTGATTGGGATTATAGACCTTTAAGTAAGTGTACAAATAAAATAATAACAGTTTTAAAATGAAAAAAGTTTCTTCTCCACGTTTTTCTGCCATCGAAAGTGATATATACACAACTATTCGGAAAAACAAAAAACTTGAAACATCAAGTGAGATTGTGCGTTCTGGTGAGTTCACAATAAGCAAAGAATTGAACCAACTGAAGCCTTGATTATTATATTTCATTGGACTTGGAGGGATCAGTTAGTCCTTAAAACCAAAATACATTCGGGATGTGCCATAAGACAGTGTCCACACCCACGACAGATCCGTTAATGGTAGTTAGCACTAACAAGGAAAGTTGCTTTAAAATTGTCTAAGGTTATTTCGAGAAAGTAATTTAAATACAAAGATGTAAATATATATCGAACTCAACACTAATTGTGAGCCTGTGAACTGTCTTCCAATCCCCCTGGTGGTTTTTCAACACTATATGCTGGGAGCACCAACAATCTTCTAATCCCCATGGTGGTTATGTAAACACTCAACTGTTGTTGTGTCAACTATTCTCCATTATCCATGGTGTGCACATCAACTCTTATCCACTCATCGCGATGACTCTATTAACTATCTATCACTCTTCCTGGTTGTTGTGAATGGCATATCAAGATCCTTCCATTGCCATTGTGTCAACACTTCAAGGTGAGTTTACTACCTCTCCACCACGCCCCATGGTGGTTGGTAAGCGATTCTCTAGGTGTAAGCCTAAATAGAAAGGTACTCTTTACTTCACAACTACAGCTTTGTTCTTCAGCAGCGATAACAAAAGGTGCGTTACTAAAGACATATCTTTTAGACCCCCATGATCATAGGAGTAGAATATAGATAATACACTCCAACTGTGAGTATGAGAAACGCGTCCGCGGTAGCTACACAGCAGCAATCGCATTATGTTTTACGTATAAGTTCTTCTACTTTATGTACAACAGCTATTTTATATTATGCGTAATCTGTTATTTTATCTTATGCACGTTAGTTACTTTAAGCACATCAGTTTTTTTTTATATATATTAAAACTCTCAAAGCAAATTTTTCTGTTAGCCCTAACTGAAACTTCGGAGAAATGTAAACATGAAACTAACACAAATTCGGTGGACATCACTCACTACACTTGAAAATTGTCAATGCCACGTGCTACGTAAACAGGGGGTTCGAAAATGTGCACGTAATACCAGGAAATCACACGTGTAAGAAGAGCAAAATGGAAATAAATTATTCCTACGACACGAGAAAAACTGTTCTTCTGACAAACTTTATAGAGTAAGCTTTCAGATGAAACAGCACCTGGTGTTCTTAGTTTATATACATTATTTTTAGAAACATTTATGTAAAGTAAACGTCACATATTTATTTGTCTTACAACTTTGTTTCTTAATGTCTCTAAAATCGTTTACTTGCAAAATAAACTTGAAAGTTGATTTTTTTATTATTATTTTACTTTATAGACCAATGCAGGAACTATAATGCAGATTAGAAGTTACAATTCAAGTATAACAATCAGGCAACAACACTGTAGCAAAAACGGATGCAGTTATTTACAACATCTTGTTCAAACAAGAACTTAACTATTTTCTTGCCTTTTGTTTTCCGTTGTTGTTTTCAAGTTGGATGGGCAAAGTCCAATTAGGCTTAGACATGCAGTTGAAGACTTTTTCACATATTCTTTTGAATGAATTTCATGTTTAGGTTCAAGGATGAGAAGAGTTTATTTTATATAATGTTCTTGATGATTAAGATCTTAAAATTAGCATCTTAACTCTTAAAGATGTTTCCTAAGCTTAGGCCTTATTCTAGTCTGCAGGAAGACCTTAATCGACTTATTTAACAGGTGTTTCTTTGTTGTTGTTGCTGCTATTTCAGTTGTATTGAAATAAATGCATTAGGAAAGAGAACAATATATTATTTTTTATTGAACAGTGTTTCGGAAAAACAGTGCCGAAAATTTAAAGTAACATTATCAATAATAATGATCAGCCAAACCAACACAACGACTATTAACAATGTTTTGATATAAATAAATGTATAAAATTTGAAATAAATCAACAAAAACCCTCAATAACGAAAAATATTAAGATCCTTTGATTGTGCAATCTCACTAAAATACATTCGTCACCAGCTTGCAGGATGCTGTCAGTTTTAATACTTCTAATCCCTTCTCTCTACTGTTTGCGAAACAGCACTCGGTGACTTAATTTCAGCTCAGTGAAAGCTGTAAGGACCGACATACTCGTTTCTTTGTTTTTTGTTTGGTTTACTTTACTCCATCAGTGAATAGACGTTCACTGTACCACATCACTGAACTTTGGTCATTACAAAATAAAGTTGTGCAAAAATAATAGAAATCTTCAGGTGTATGCAACTGTTTTCACATTCTCAATTTAAACCAATACATGTTCATATAAAGCTTGCATTACCCTAGAATTATCGGTGGAGTCCATTTCCAATCGGCTTTTAAACACTTTGATTTTTTTTAAACCATGTATATAACAAATTAATTTTGGGTTCATACTAATGGTAACAGGGCCCTAGTAACAAAAAATGTAAACAAACAACAACAAAAAACTTTCATAATACAATTAATTCCACTAATCACTGCTGTGTATTCCCATGTATTTACGTTCATAATGAGTAATTTCAAGCAACTTATTTGACTATGTCTTTACAGTGATTGTCGAAACAAAAACATAAAATTAACCAAAATGTTGCAAATCGTGGATCCCTCCGATCATCAACGGTATACAAACAAATCAGTAATTTGAGGATAGACAAATGGACTTAGTACTTCATAAGGTAAACATCATAAGCCTTAGTATTTCAAGAGGAGCCCTGGTATTGGACGAAAAGCCTTGTCGGCACTGGATATAGTATGGTTGATTGGCATATTACAAGCCGTTCTCCTTTGCTTTTGCTCATGGGTTCTTAGAATCATTAATTGCAGGTTTCTCTCGTTCATACTATGGTTATTTGACCCATTCCGGGAACAAGAAGACTAGCTTGCTGCTTTGCCAATTCTTGTGCACAATAGTAAAGTTAATTCAAATAAAATAATAATAATAATACAAAAAATTAAAGTAGATAAATAATCGGTATTAATGTTGCGCTATTATCGTATTGGCCCAATTATAAGGCGATGTATTTTTGATTAATAATTAGGTTGTAAAATTCATAGTCGTCTTATAATCGCGGCCGAAAACAGGCCCCGTCCCCCTACTCTAACCTGTCGTATTCCTGAATGTCCAGATAGCATCAGTATACGCATGCATGCGCACCAAATGTTCGATCAAGGTCATCGCTAATTCTTGCAACTAATTCACCGGCAAGCTGTTCAATTACAGTATTGATTTGGCGGACCTAAAAAGAATGTTATGACACTCATTTTTTTTCCTTTCCCAGGGTTTCTGAAAATGGGAGTCGCCTTATATTCGAGGTCGCCCTATATTCGGGTCACTACTGTAATTATTACCTAATAAAAAGAATGTTATGACACTCAATTTTTTTTCCTTTCCCATGGTTTCTGAAAATGGGAGTCGCCTTATATTCGAGGTCGCCCTATATTCGGGTCAGTACCGTAATTATTACCTAATAAAAAGAATGTTATGACACTCAATTTTTTTTCCTTTCCCATGGTTTCTGAAAATGGGAGTCGCCTTATATTCGAGGTCGCCCTATATTCGGGTCAGTACCGTAATTATTACCTAATAATCTGATTTGTAAATGAAAAATATAGATTGATAATGATTACAATTCACATGCTTAATCTGATTCACACCATAACTACTGTTGAACATGAAAATTGATTATATCTATAACGCGTAAACCATTACTATATTTGCAGTAGTCCAGCCAGCCTGATGAACCCTGGTATTGACGAAAGGCCTCGTCGGTACTGGATGTAGCAGATGTAGTGTGGTTGACATGTTATATTCTTTACTTTCACTCATGGGTTCTTAGAATAACTATATATATAAAAATAGAAACAACGTTCGCGTTGTACAGGAAAAGAACTGAGAATTGGGGAGAAAAGTCACGTCCCAAGTGTAAACAAACACTCATTCATATAATGTTTGTACATGCGTAGAACTCTACGAATCCACAGAGGAAAGTATATACCTTTTCCTAGCACTTTGAATCTAGGAAGTGCAAACAGTTTAGATGTTCTTGAACTTTGACGTAATCATCAAACCAAGATACACGAGTTTGTCCACACTGGCAATGAACGTCACAACACGAGTACAAAGGATCTACTACTTATAAACATCCTCATTTACTGCTGTTATTAAATTTGTTTGTTTTTATATTTTACGAGAGTGTGATTAAAAATGGTGATCCTATTCTGATTAAATAAGTACATTGACACCAAACTTCACGCATGCGCAAACCTTACCTTTGCTTCAGGAGAATGCATTTTCAATATTTAAGTTTTGTAAAATAATAAAAAAATATCATGTTTAATAGTCTTAGTTTCCAGGGTGTCAGGAACTACATTGTGCAGCAGTATTCCTGCCGTTTTATTTTTAGTAATTCGTTCGTTGTCACGTGACTTGTTTTTGCTTTACTAATTTCCACAAGTATATTGAATTTTTCATAATAAACACTTTTAAAGAGTCAGCATGTGCTGGTTACAAAAATACAGACATTACCGGCTTTGGTGATTTCAATAAACCACAACAATAATAAACTCAATATAACACAATGTTTCTTTAAATGAATAATCTCTATTTATTTCCACATATTTACAAAGTATTGACTTCTTAATTATGAAATATGTGCATACATTGCCCTCAGCTCAAGAAACTTCTATCTGTACAATTACCTTTATAAACCACTTCCACATAAAACTCTAACAGATGGCCATCACTACATTATTTAAGTATATTCTTCAAACTGTCTCTCACACTCTTCCTAGAACAATACAAAACCCTGTAAGTTCGCTTACTTTCGTAACCCGAAGTCTGCTTTGTACGAGTTGATGGGAAATTCTAAGGCCTAGTAACATATCTCATCGGTATAGAAAACAGGGTTTTACTTAACAATACAAACAATATTTCTTGCTACAATGTACAGTGATGACGAATGGGGTTTTCGTAGACCATATAAATGTCTGAATGAATTTAATATCATACGTTTACCAACAACAGCTTATAATAGTATACACAATTATAACAATGTGTATCTACAAAATTCCCTTCTAAAAACAGCTACGCCTAAAAATAAAATCTAGCTCAGTTGACACCCCTTACCACAACTAATCAATTCCTAAACTACCATCTACTAACTACCAGCTGACCAACCCCTACCATCTTTTAGCTGACACGCTTGTACCACACTGTCAGCTATTATACTTTTTACTCTGTTAATGTAACGAACTCGCATAATAAGTTAATCTGGTAGAAAATTCTGACCTCTTCATTAGCTGACACGCTTGTACCACACTGTCAGCTATTATACTTTTTACTCTATTAATGTAACGAACTCGCATAATAAGTTAATCTGGTAGAAAATTCTGACCTCTTCAGCTAAAACACCCTCTCATTTCTCTTTTAGCCTACTATCATAATCTCCTTTCAAATTCTCAGTTAACCCCCCCCCCTACCACTCACTTAATTGATACATTCTTATTCTTCAGGTAAGGAATCCATCAATTTTCTCTCGGATGGCAGAGTCCAATACATCTCAGCTGAAACATTATCCATTACCACACCCTCTGCCGATATCTTTTTACTGACATTACAAATAAAGAGTAGCCATTATTTTACTGACACTATCTTTTTTAACTGATGTCATTGAAAGAAAACATTTTTTTTGCTATTTAAGCATTTAATGAAAGTTAAAATGTGATTTTGTTTTACTGACTGGCTGTAAATTTATGGATGTTTTTGAAACCCTGCACTCAGTTGATAAACCATTTGCTATACCCCTTACCACTTCCTTAGCTGGCACACTAAAACACTCCTCACCTCTCTAAAGACATTCTTTACTTCACCCACAAATTTACTGCTCTAATAATTTGAAAAGGAGTTAATCTTTTCCCCAGGTTTATTGTGAAGGTTTTAATTCCTAGTGAAGGCATTTTTAGAACCCATGAATTTCTACAAGTAAGAGAAATTTTGATGATGCTTTCACAAACCAGCCAGCTCATGTAAGGTTTAAGCAATAATATACAGTAGAAAACAGTTAATATGTAGCAGGTGGTTTTATAACCTTAAGTATTACAGAGACACTGAGGTTAAAATGTGTAGATTTCACAGAAAAAGTTTTAGTAATTCCTACAACTGCTAATAATCAACATGGACTAAATTGTTTCTTGTTGTTTCTAAATATCCTGTTATTGTGCTTACATCACGGTAACTCATTTAAATTACTTCAAGAAATAAGAATAATTAGATATTCTGTGACTTCAAATCTAGTCATTAGTCAACAAAAAAAACTTTTGAAGATTTTTATACTTTGGGTTACTAAGCCTACAGTAATAACGATAGGACTGGTCAGGTAAGATTAGTTGTTGAACACACACAAAAAGAATCAAAATCTTCTGAAACAGACAATAAAAATAAGCAGGCAAGCTTCCTTTGCATAAGATGTGTGTGTGTGTGTGTGTGTATATATATATGTATGCGACAATTACTGGTTACTAACTCAACCCTTGTATTTTTCTTAAAATAAACCTATTTTGTAATTTGTAATGTCTACTATGCTTGGCTCAAAAGTCCAATCTCTTAGTAACCTAACTGTCAATCAAAAATATCTATTCATTAAGTTTCTGTGTGAAGATACATATCCATTCTTTCAAACTGTCTAAGATATTCAATTTTAGTGTGGATGTTACATAAGTCAGTAACATTCAAAATTACAGCTCTGTGTGAAAGTTAATCAGATCTTAATATTCGATTCATCAGTTTGGGATTGAGTGTTTTCAAACAAAAATTTCTAATTGAAAGTTCTTTCCAATTACTGTTTTTCTCGCATATAATTCCTAGCACTGATTATTACTATATTCCTAGTCTAAAGCCTTGAAATAATTATGATGAATCTATGAATATGCAAGTAAAATGAGGTTCCATAAAGGTCGTCTTTTCTGAACTATAAATGACAAACGACTGAAATAACAACCTTAGTTTCCTATACATACTTCTCGGTTACTTATCCCTGGGTGCAAAATCGTTCCAAGAAAATTAATACAAGTTAATATTAAGTCGATCACAATATGGATGAATACACAGTGAATTTGTATATTTTGAAAGAATCATTACCTTGTCTACACGTGTATTTGAAAAAAAACAACTAATATTAAACAACATAAATATACAATGAGGCAGAAGTTACTATAAACTTGGTACTAAAGAAAATCTTAAGAAGACAAATGAAACTATTTAATTACCATTTGTTTCAGGATAAAACGTTAGAAATTAAACTATCTTCTAAATAAAACAATTATTAAATCACTTTTGCCACAACCTTTATATGTGCTAATCAGCACTGATAATCAATAGTTACTGTGAAGGTATTTTGCATCACAGAAATTTTATTTCTAGCTTCCAATCATATTTCATTGGATCACATTTCTATCAATAACAACAACAACAAAAAAACTATCTGCAAGCTACTTTTCTTGCAGCTTGATAAAGGTATCATTAGTTTATTGCTATGTTTACTAAGCCAGAGAAACAGCCACAATTAACAGAACACTCAAGTAAGAAGTTGTTTTAGCAAATTAACGGTTTACACCTTCAAACTTACTGCACTTTTACGTTTAAATGATAAATTCCTGTATATAACATCTATTTTTACATATGGAAGACATATTTTCAATCTCTGTAAATCATAAGACACGTTCACAATGTACTCCACCTTCTATAGACCGAATAATGACTCAATTCTACTCCAATTTTAAAAATCAAATAACAGTTTTTAACTCTAAACCTTAAATTCTTTTAACCTCATAATAATTTGAATTTGCACCTCAACCCTTACAGTTCAGGACTACACTTAAAAACCACTATGAATCTGGTAGTAATTTTAACTCTACATTTTAAACTATAAGAATCAAAGCATGATTTGACACAATTCTTTAACGCACACACACAAGATTTGACTTAAGCAAATTACCATTTAACTTTGAACAATAAGGGGAAAGTGAAAAGCATTAGTTATGATGAAAAATAATTACATTATGATATGTTACCAATTCTGAGTTTAGCCTGGCCTCTGTATAACAGATTATCATTCACTATTGCCTCAACGTGTTGAGTAGTGAGAAGAATTAGTTAAATTTCTTGTTGTTTACTGAGATTCAAGAAGTTTTGGTACACAATAACGAAACAATCAAGTGTACCGTATTATAACTTGCACTATTCTGTTTCAATCATTTCAATATCAAATAGTTGCTTAATAATTAGTTGCTTAATTAATTGCTAGTAGTTGCTTAAGAACAATTTTATGCAAGCTTTTAACATGTCAAATGCATGTTTTAAAATCATGAACTTGTGTTTAATTTGTTACTTAAAAATCTATAATATATTGTAAACTGTTAACAACACTAAAGAAACTTCTTTCATCGGCTCCCCATGCTGTTCTCTAAGGAGCAATGGAAAAAAACCCCACAAATTAACCAGTTGAAAAACGAATATACACATACACAAAGGGTTCCTAAAGTTAAAGGAGCGGGTTATGCACACACACACACACAAAATATCCATCTTATGAATAGTTCTTATTACCCATAATGTCTGGCAACTGTCTCTTCAGTCTGAGTTTTACGAAGTAGATACCAATTTCGTTACCACCTGATCAATGTAAGCCATGGTTTAAAGAATGCTACCCTCTTTCTTTATTGAGTTTGGTAAGATCTATATTGATGTAGAATACTCAACATTTTACATAAGAATAACAAGAACGACTTTGAGTAAAGGTTAGTACACTCACCAAAGGCATTATTAATTACCATTAAAACTTATCATTCTAAAGCAGACGTCACATTGCCATTCAGTAGTAGGTGAGAAGACTTTTCAACCCTTTAGTTCTTCATAAGATACTTACACATATTTATAACTCAGCAATGTTTCAAGAAAAATGTTTTTACTACTGATTAAATGAACTTCCAAGATGTGTGTGAGTTGTTGGCAACTAGAATACAATGTAATTCAATCGCTTTTACATTGTTTAACAAAACTTTTAATACCAATAACAATGTAGTAGATATTATCTCTCGTATAACATGTTTAACAAGCAAGTTGAGTTTGGTTCAAAAAATGCTTGTACTTTAAGTGTTAAAAATTACAAACTTGTTTAAAATAAAATCTACAGTACAAAATTTATACATACACTAACATTGGGGCAGCTGATAAACAATATTATCAAAAAAAAAATGAATAGTTGTCCATGTTCATCCCTGTCTAAAGGCTTCAATCACTTTACTAATCATACACATATTTCAAAATGTACATTTCTTAAAAAAAACTAAACTATTCAAACAAACTTAAACAAACTAGAACTTGGATGACTACAGGCAATAACTTAGAAATAATCTTTCGTCAGTCGACACGCACAAGGGATCTTGTGAGAAAGAGTAGAGGGCTGTAACTTGCGTTATCGCTCACCGTCGCATTCTTCAAGATAGGAAGACGGAAATATCCTTGTTTGTGTACCTGTGGAGTCAAAATAAATTTTTTTCTTAAAACTTTCTTTTTTTAATGGTACTGAGAAATGTCACTAGAAACTATAAGACCTGATAACACGGAATATTTCCTAGTTAAGGCACTACACTTAAGGGTATGACTCCACATCATTACATGAAAGTCGACTAAAGCTATTTTGTAAATGGTATTAAGTACCACATGTAATATACCACATATATTTTGATAGAACATTAAATGCTTTAAAGCAAGATATTTTTTTTATGCCCATAATTACAATTCAAATGCCCTGAGGGCCTCCTGAAGTTTGTCAAAATCATGATTGAAGTTCCACTGTTATTTCCAAACAGCTTGATGTACAGTCATAAAATTTGACATACAGCTTCTCTATGAATACGTCTATGATTTTAATATAATAGAACTGATATATTACCTAATTTGTATATTTCATTTTGCAAAATATCTTTGTTTTGAAAATCATAATGTTTGGAATACAATGCTTTATTGGTAAATTAACTGATGTTTATGTACATTTTTTAAAATAAGAATCATAGATCTGATAATGATCTATCATTATATATAGGTAACTGTCAATAACCTTTATAGATTTAATAGAAATCATGGAAGTAGTAATACCTATCATATTATAAACTGTTAACACTGTGAATGTAATTTAGATTTGTTTGCCCTATAACTCACTAGATGGCACTGAACCAAATCAACAACTGAATGCGTCTGTTTCAGGAAACTTCATATTTGTCAAAATGAAATAAAAAAATGTACAAGTTTTTCTTAAAAGTTTCTCAGCCTTTCAATTTATTAAATATACAGGATCTTAATAATGTTTCATTGCTACTACATTTTTTCTAGAATGCTGATGTCAAACAAAAGGCTGGAGAGAGACAACACTTATGGGCCATAAACATACCAGATGCACTAACCTTCCAAGTCCACATGGAATCAAGATCATATAACTTACATGTATTATTTGTATAGCAGTATTTTTAAAAACATCAAACATTCCTGATTGAACTGTTCAGTTACATAATGAAACAGTAATACCATTTAAAAACATCAAACGTCAAGACGAAAACAAAGATCAAATATTCCTGATTAAACTGTTCAGTTACAAAATGGAACAGTAATGTACTCTCATACCCTGAAAGGGGTTGTTGGAGAATAAATAAACTTTAAACTTTAGAAAATTCCTTATTGATTAATAGTTAACATCTTGTATCTATGTTGTTCCATTTCTCAGTAAGACACATAAATATGAATGGCATATTTTGACGTATCCTCCAATTTCAATAATGAATGTATGTGTTACAGAATGTGCATGGGAGAAACGTATTTGTTTCCCCTGGACAACAAGCACCTTCTTACACCATACACTAACCAACTGCAAGTTCAATAATAGCCGCCCCTAATGTACGAACTAATTTCCAGTTGAATGTAATCTTTCTCATCGCGAGTGGCGTGTAACTGGTAGCCTTTACCATATCTCAGTGTTGGTGAGATAACAAATTCATGGATGTATGTGATAAAATTACGTTTAGCATTACTTGGTGTCTATTTGAAAACACCCATAACTCGGTTTGACAATTCTCTTCCTTATTATAGGTACACAAGAGTTACGGTGAGTAAATTGACTGTCAAACTGAAACCAGCTATTGGTGTTTTTATGTGGATATCTCAAAGGTCTCAGAGAATGAGCCAGTTTTCTGAAAAATGGAAGTATTAAATACAGTCACGGTTTGCAGTCGTAAAGATACGCTATGGTCGTGAATAGTAGATACGAAATAAGTTTAACTTTGCTTATTCTTGTGTTATTTATTATTATTATTTTCTATTTCATTGTACTTCTCGTTCTTCGAGGGTTTTTAACAGGCTTCAATGGGTTTGAAAAATTGTGTAAACAGAAAATATTTTCTTGGCAATAGAACAACTTCCACCCCCTATATTGTTTTTGGTTATCGTTACAGAGCAGGTACAGTGTCTGTACCAGTAAGTGGACAATGTAGCTATAACTTGACTTAGGACCTTGCGATATGTTGTACTAGTATGGTATGGGGTATGTTATTCGTTTCACTTCTACACCAGTGTCAGTAAAGGAAGCCATAACTAAATCAAATTCAACAGAGGGACTTTATAGATGTAAGGGAAGAGTTCCTTCTTATTCTTACAAAGTAAACTGTCACCTCTTCACTTGATTTATTTATTTTGTGCAAAATGTCATGACAACCTAAGATCAAAGATAATGCCAACCTTTAGAAAACTATTATTTAACCTTGTTTAGGTGTCATCGCACATGAAAATGTCGATATCAAACTGGTTTCTCTGATAAGAGGAAGTGTGTAAAGTATTTTGAGTTGGATATATTTTTCAGCTTCTCTTTCAAATAAAGAGGAGAGCTCGTAATCCCAATATCATGTGTTTTTTTCGTGTTTTTAATAAAAATGACCATTTGTTTGTTGGTTACCATTTCAGAAAATCAGATGTTTCAGCAGCAGAAGCAAAAACAAGATGTTATAATGACTGATCGAAGTTATAATTACAGTTGATGTTGGATAGCATCAATAAATGAGCTAAACAGAAGGCTATGATAAAGTAATTACTACAAGGGTAAACAAGGTAATGAATGGGTAGATATGAAATTTAGGCGAAGTCAAAGAATTTTCAAAATCATCCAGTAAAAACTCAAAAGGCTATACATATACAAGCATCCCCCCCTTCATTTCAACCTTAACCCCAGCAAATTAGATGCTAGCTAGCCTAGTCAGTTACCATATAGAACGAGCATTAGTTTGCGAGTCGAGTGCCTTAACCACCAGGCCTCGTATATCTGTATACATACTAACAATGCAAACGTGATCTTTATATGATGTTTATCATATAATTATTTTGATATCGATGGAAATGCTTGATAAAATGTATAGCTGTTACAGTATTCTCTGGTTTTCCTTGTTTCTATGTTAATTCATAATTGTCAAAAAATAACAAGAAAGTTTATGATAATTAATGATGGAAAAAAAAAGTATTCTTTCAACTGTTTTGGGATGAAAACTGTCCTGTTTCACATGGCAAGGTATTTCCATACTCCTTTTGCAGGCTTTTACTTATGAATCATCTTATATACTGAACAAATATATAATAAAACCTGTGATGAACAGCTGTCAACCAAACACAATAGCCTGTTTGTTATCAATGGATGTTTGGTTTATTAATCAAAACCAATTTTTAACATCACGTTGCTATGTGAAAGTGATTTTTTGACTGATCAATTACAGAAGTGCCCTAGTGTTGCTCGACTTAGAACTGAATTCCATCGGTCACAATATACCAGATTTTCATTGGAAGATGGCTACTGAAAAATCCACCTTCCTTTCGTTTCTAGACAAATTAAATAACAACTTACTTTGTCTAGCTTTTACTCTATTTTAGATTCAACTAAGAAACTTCATGTTCACTGGATTTCCTATTCGTCTTGGAGTCTTCTGTCTTTAAGGTCAACTGACAAACATCCTTGACAATCATCTCTGCTATTTGCCATGCCATTTCTTCTTGAGCCTGACAAAAAAAAGAGCCTTTAACCACAAATTTAATTAGTTGTTACTCTGTAATAACATTACAACTGGATGAAAAATTAAATCCAACACAACTCGGAAGCAGCAGATATTAGGTGCAAGAACTTATTCCGACACACAATTGTTTAGGTAGATTGCATTTTGTATTTCTTATAACTAGTAGATTTTGGACCAATGGCAAGGTGACTGCATGTACGTGATCCTGTATAAATAGTGGAAAAGTGTAACATCAATCCTAATCCGTGGGAAACTCTTGCCCAAAACTGCCCAGCCTGGACGAGTGCTGTCAAAAAGGGAGCAACCACCTATGAACAACGTTGCATCCTGATAGCCCAGAACAAGCGTGCAGCACGTAAAGCAATAGGAAGCAACCATCAGAACCCACCTGGCCCCACTGTTGTCTTGCCCTCATTGCGCCAGCCCTTTTTCGTGCAAGGATCAGGCTAATCAGTCACTTCCAAACACACAAAATCAATGGATGATGATGAAAATGGTCCTCTTGAATCACGAAGGACGAACCATATATAAGTGGAAAAGTATACCCGTAGAGTTCCCACGTTCTGTAACTGAAAAGTTTGCTGCCATTGTCCATGTTCTTGTACTTCTCGGAATGTTCATATGGAAATTACCACCCACAGCATCAACATGTACATACTGGGCAGATAAATTTATTATTATTTCTTTATCTAGGACAGAACCACTGCCTCACCTCAATTGAAATAATTTTTTCTCATACAGAGCAATATTTCAAGTCTGTTCATTCTACGATATAAATATCAACCTTAATAAAAGTGTTTGAACAAGTTCTTGTGCTAATCTATGCATCTAAGTGCAAACAAACAGGTGTCATTTGTACAGTATCCTATAATTTCAGTTTACTATCTTTCCTTACACATTTAATATATCTAATCCACCACAAGAAATAAACATAGTTTTGTATTTTAGAAAGTTTCAAATCAACTTATGTTTACAATATTCTGTTTTAACAAGGATTGTTTGTTTTTTTAATTTCGCGCAAAGCTACACGAGGGCTATCTGCGCTAGCCGTCCCTAATTTCGCAATGTAAGACTAGGGGGAAGGCAGTTAGTCATCACCATCCACCACCGACTCTTGGGCTACTCTTTTACCAACGAATAGTGAGATTGACCATCACATTATAACGCCCCCATGGCTGAAAGGGGCGAGCATGTTTGGTGGGACGAGGATTCGAACCCGCGACCCACAGATTGCGAGTCGAGCTCCCTAACCACCTGGCCATGCCGGGCCTTTAACAAGGAAGGGTATTAATGAGTTTGTAATGTCATCCCAACGTATGAAACGTAACAAACTTGCCATTTTAAAAAGAGGATGTTTAACTGAGAAAACTTTTTTTTTGTCATATTGACATAAAATTGAAGCATATAATATAAATCTTGTATGAATGAATATATACACATAATCAAACATATTTCTCTAATATTGAAAAATGAATACAAAATTAACGTAAATGCATTCAACGTCCTAATAAAGCTATAATGACTGCTCCTTTCCAACAACCCTCACACAAGTAAGAGAAACACACACAATATTTTACCTAAATACAAAATAATCACAAAAGACAGCTTTAGATATAACACGTATATCTGCAACAAGTTCCGTAATGAAAAACAGAAGTTACAAATTTAATTACTGATACTTTTTACCTTTTCCTCCTTGTTCACAAACCTACGGACAGCCTTGGAGAGCAATGAACCTGAAAGTAAGGATCATCGACAATGTTACACACAGAGTTCAAGATTTTACCTACAAACTCCACTTGTACCACCTGGATGACAGCCAACTTAGACTATCATAAAAAAAGTACCGTTTACTTGCCTCAAAATGTTGATTTAGCTGAGGGAATGATAAATAACTTAAAGTCTCCAAAATGTGGGGTACTTAAATAAAAAATAACTACAAACAGACAACTTAAACTTTCATCTGTTCGTAACAAAAACTTTTTTACCCTCCAACTTTAAGGAAAAACAAATAATTAAATAGACATGCTCATGAAACATCTTAGTGCTAAAGATGTAACATTAATTATAACTGTGTATTACAAATTTACATAAGATATCCTGTTCTGAGTGAAAAACAAGTTTATATATCTACTTAGGTCTGTTTTAAAAACCTACTGCTTTCACTTATATCTTTTTAAACAGTAATATTTTCTTGAGAAAACTTTTACAGACAAAACAATCTTGGTAACGAAAGAGTTTACATAATGCTACATGAAGATGGTTGTATTCATAATGAATTATTAAAGAATCTACACAATGCTACGTGAAGATGGTTGTATTCATAATGAATTATTAAAGAATCTACACAATGCTACATGAAGATGGTTGTATTCATGATGAATTATTAAAGAATCTACACAATGCTACGTGAAGATGGTTGTATTCATGATGAATTATTAAAGAATCTACACAATGCTACGTGAAGATGGTTGTATTCATGATGAATTATTAAAGAATCTACACAATGGTACATGATGATGGTTGTATTCATGATGAATTATTAAAAAATCTACACAATGGTACATGACGATGGTTGTATTCATGATGAATTATTAAAGAATCTACACAATGGTACATGATGATGATTGTATTCATGATGAATTATTAAAAAATCTACACAATGCTACGTGAAGATGGTTGTATTCATGATGAATTATTAAAGAATCTACACAATGCCACGTGAAGATGGTTGTATTCATGATGAATTATTAAAGAATCTACACAATGGTACATGATGATGATTGTATTCATGATGAATTATTAAAGAATCTACACAATGCCACGTGAAGATGGTTGTATTCATGATGAATTATTAAAGAATCTACACAATGGTACATGACGATGGTTGTATTCATGATGAATTATTAAAGAATCTACACAATCCAACTAACTGACTACAACCATGCTGGTACATTCCAATTAAACTGAAAGTTGTCAAAAGATTCTACATTAAAAGACACTTCTCAATAACAATATCAAAATATTTATTACGGTTTAAGCAACAAAGCTACTTTAGCAACACTTTGTTAACTGATCAAAAAATCGTTGTATGTTCCTAACATTTTATATGTGTTACTGTGCAGAGCAAAGAATTATCCAATCAGCAATCTCACTAAAACTCTTTTGTTTGTTTGAAGTTAAGCACAAAGCAACACAGTAGGCTATCCGTGCTCTGCCCACCATGGGTATCAAAACCCAATTTCTAGTGTTATAAGTCTGAAGACTAAGTTACTTTTTGATATCAGTGCAAGTCCTCCATAGTCTAGTAAGTTATCTAAAATAATAAAACTTTGTCTGATGATACTCTAGGCTAACACTTAGATGACATTTAGTTAGGTAAATAGTCCCAACTTTTTACTGCTAAAAAAAAAAAAGAACAAGTGAAAATTTGTTAAGGATTGAGTTCCATTAGTGCTACTGCATGATTAGCTAACAGTCATGTTAGAATTATCTTATTAGGGCTGTGAAGCCAACTCAGTCATTTAGAAACATACCTGTTTTTCTGTCGGGTTCTGGCTCAAACTCGGTTTGAACTTTCCCATACTTATCCACATGGGCCAATTGAAGTTTCCTGAATAAATAAATAAAACAACTAGCTGTCATCATTAGTATGTATCTTGTAATAACAGCAAAGCTACTAAGGCTAATGGCCACCATCCCCAACTTTGAGTTATTGACAAGAGGAAAGGCATCCAGTCAACAAAACCCACCATCAATGCTAAGGGATTGATTGTCACGCTTATAATGCACCCAAAGTTTAAGTTCTGAGTAATATTTTGTAGTATTAAACAGACTTAAACTTGTATCATTAGCTCTAAAATCCGGAGTTTTACCACTGGGCCAACTCAAGCCCAAAATCATTAGAATACTAAGTACATACATTAATGCTCATGTAGAATAAGGAGAGTTGATTAATTTTTTTCAGATATTTGCAGAATATGTTAATTTCTCTCTATCTTGCTGCATAAGTAGTTATACTTGTCCATATCATATTTCCCTATCTTGCTACGTAGGTGGTTAAACTTCCCCACATAATTTCCTTCCTTATCTTGCTATGTAAGTGGTTAAACTTCCCAAATATTTTCTTCCCTAGCTCGCTACGTAAGTGGTTAAACTTCCCAAATATTTTCTTCCCTATCTTAATACGTAAGTGGTTAAACTTCCCCACATATTTTCTTTCCTTATCTTGCTACGTAAGTGGTTAAACTTCCCCACATATTTTCTTTTCCTATCTTGCTACGTAAGTGGTTAAACTTCCAAAATATTTTCTTTTCCTATCTTGCTACGTAAGTGGTTAAACTTCCCCAAATATTTTCTTCCCTATCTTGCTACATAAGTGGTTAAACTTCCCCACATATTTTCTTTCCTTATCTTGCTACGTAAGTGGTTAAACTTCCAAAATATTTTCTTTTCCTATCTTGCTACATAAGTGGTTAAACTTCCCCAAATATTTTCTTCCCTATCTTGCTACATAAGTGGTTAAACTTCCCCAAATATTTTCTTCCCTATCCACATATTTTCTCTCCTTATCTTGCTGCACAAGTTGTTACACCTGCCCAAATCTTTTCACTCTATTTTGCTACACAAATGTTTACATTTCCCCAAACCTTTTCTCTCCCTATCCTTGCTACACATATTTTAAGAACTTCCCCATATGTACACATTTCAAGGCAAAATAACTGCTTAAAACTCTAATTAAAAAACACCTATAACAGTTACGTATGGTCTGAATTATCCTTTACCAGTTACATGAGTGACATAACCACATGTGTAAATTTTACATACAGAGAAAAGCAATGTAAACCATATCTAATTAGCACATTTTTATCATATATAAATACTGACTGTTACAAAATTTGATAAGATTATACAAAAAACCTTTTACCCAGCTAGCTGTCGCTGCCAAAGGAAGTCTGGGTCAAAAAGTCCTGTGTCTATCCTTATATCCTGATGTCCAATTTTATCAAGGACATTCTTCGATTTAGGGTTCACATGTTTACTACCCATGGCTAAGAGTGTGTTGGTTGTATGGATATTAACACTGTGTTCACTGCTGCTGCTGTCACTCCCTGAAAGTGATAATACAAGATAATGTTGATAACAAATGAAACCTTCATTCTAAACCATAACCTATAAGATGTTTCCTCATAAAAACAGAAAAATCATTGGTGAGACATCACTTGGTTTACTGTGTACATTTGTGGTTTGCTTACCAAAAAAAATACTGACTATCCAGAAGAGAGCTAATGGAATGATTTCAGTGATGGAAGGGTTATCTTAAGGGGATAGGTGGGACACATTCAGAGGAGAGCTAACGAGATGATTTCAGTGATGGAAGGGTTATCTTAAGGGGATAGGTGGGACACATTCAGAGGAGAGCTAATGGAATGATTTTGGTGATGGAAGGGTTATCTTAAGGGGATAGGTGGGACACATTCAGAAGAGAGCTAACAGGATGATTTCAGTGATGGAAGGGTTATCTTAAGGGGATAGGCAGGAACCATTCAGAGGAGAGCTAACAGGATGATTTCAGTGATGAAAGGGTTATCTTAAGAGGGTAGGTAGGAACCATTCAGAGGAGAGCTAACAGGATGATTTTGGTGATGGAAGGGTTATATTAAGGCAATAGGCAGGAACCATTCAGAGGAGAGCTAACGAGATGATTTCAGTGATGGAAGGGTTATCTTAAGGGGATAGGTGGGAACCATTCAGAGGAGAGCTAACAGGATGATTTCAGTGATAGAAGGGTTATCTTAAGAGGGTAGGTAGGAACCATTCAGAGGAGAGCTAACAGGATGATTTCAGTGATGGAAGGGTTATCTTACAAGGATAGGCTGAGATCCTGTAATTTATTTTCTCTTGTGAAAAGAGCCCACTGATGGCTGATGGTGAAGAGAAGTTAAAAATACACATACATCTTTTGTAACATCCTTAATTACAAGGAGGTGAAGTTAGTAAACCACAAAATATAACCTCTCCTACATGGAGAGTGAAAATGACTGTTTTGTATGTTATGTAAAAATATCAGAAAAACAAGAAACTCCCAAATCACTAAACACGGGATCTCTGAAATTATCAGGTTCCTATTGAAGAAAAATTACAGGAAAGTTGCAAATATTATTATAAATGTAGCCTAGTATTAACTTTTAACCGTAGTCTACAACATAATATAGCTATTGTTTCTAGGAATTAACTAAAAAACTCACCAGATCGTTTTCTCCTTCCTGGCCAATCGTTTCCTGTCTGAATAGTGCTAATGCATTCTGTCAAGAACTTGACATACTGCTGACTTCCAAGGAAATGAGGGAGATACAACTGATGGGAAGCAAGTGTTACAAATGTTACTAGCTACCTGACTAATGCTGCTACACAAAGCCCCTCTGACAATGGACTTTAACTTGTAAATAATCCGGAAAAATAAATCTTATAATAAACAATAATCAGCAAGCAATTTTAGAAAATACATTTCTTATATAACACACTTGTAAGTATTATACATGATAAGTTATGTACATGTATACTTATTAGTGCTAAGGAAGTTTCTTGTGCAGAGAATCATACAGAAAATATAGCTAACTTTCCTCCAAGTCAAACACTAACTTTTCAGGTTTGTCTTACCTGCCAAGTAGAAATTTATTTAAATTAAAATTGTAGTATGTAAAAACCACACACACAGGTTCAATGATGACGACACTATTTCCACAATAATTTGTACTAGTTTGAATATGGCTTAAATAGGTTTAATATCTGAGATAAAAAAGAATCATTTACTAACGAAAAACACAATTTCTGATAAACCTGTTTTTGAAGTTGAATAATCTGTTGGATGCTATTCTAATATACCTTCTCTATGTATTGCATTAGGATCATTACAGGCTTCAAGAAGCAGTCAGGAAGCGGACCTTCCTCCCGACAGATGTTCTGTTCTACTTGGAACCTGATCTCATCACTAAAACCAAGTGGGCTGGTGGCCTGCAGAGAGAAATACCTGAGAAAGAAAAAAATTATCTTACCATTAGATATCTCTCCACACTCATTTTCAAGACGTGAAAACATAAAATCAGCACTGAAAGTCATGTGCTAACATCTGTAACACTGGTATCAGCATTGGTTATTTCAAGACTGTTGGCAGAGCTCAGAAGAAACAACAAACTCAGGATACTTGAAAGTGTTCTTAGAGTTAACTAAAAGGTACAATTTCAGCTTAATTTCTATATATCATCACATGAAACGTATAAAAATAAACATCAATTTTATTCAATGTAGTTTCAGTGTTAGTATTTAATATTCAATTTCGGTATTAATGAAGATGGTGTGTTACTTTAGTAAATTGTGTTTTGGGTGGTTTCTTTCATGTCCAACTTGCCGTTTTGATTTTTCTATCATGTCCAACTTGTTGCCATTTTAATGTTTTAATCATGTCCAACTTGTTGCCATTTTGATGTTTCTATCATGTCCAACTTGTTACCGCTTTGATGTTTTAATCATGTCCAACTTGTTGCCATTTTGATGTTTCTATCATGTCCAACTTGTTACCATTTTGATGTTTCTATCATGTCCAACTTGTTGCCATTTTGATGTTTCTATCATGTCCAACTTGTTGCCATTTTGATGTTTTAATCATGTCCAACTTGTTGCCATTTTGATGTTTTTATCATGTCCAACTTGTTGCCGTTTTGATGTTTCTATCATGTCCAACTTGTTGCTGTTTTGATGTTTCTATCATGTCCAACTTGTTGCCATTTTGATTTTTCTATCATGTCCAACTTGTTGCCGTTTTGATGTTTCTATCATGTCCAACTTGTTGCCATTTTGATGTTTCTATCATGTCCAACTTGTTGCCGTTTTGATGTTTTAATCATGTCCAACTTGTTGCCGTTTTGATGTTTTATCATGTCCAACTTGTTGACCACTTTGATGTTTTTATCATGTCCAACTTGTTGCCGTTTTGATGTTTCTATCATGTCCAACTTGTTACCATTTTGATGTTTACAAAAGGTAACTATAGTGTATCCTGTAAGGTAATGCAAAAGTAATGTTTTCATTGTTTTACAGTTAATTCATTTCCAGTCATAACTGTGCTTTAAAACTTTTCAACTGTTAAACTGAAATTTCATAAAAAGGAATTTACTTGTCATAAATGATCATCGCATCATCTTGAGCCTGTGCACCATCATACTTTGCCCCCTGATGCAACAACTGGTTGTGGAAGTTTCTAGTCATGAGTAGGAAGTCCACTAGATGATGAGCCGATTCTTGTTCCATGAACTAAAGATACAGAAAATTTGTGCAAATTATTCCAACTATTCCATTACAGCATTAGCAACAGACAAATAGCATTTTGGTATAGTTAAAGATGAAGAATAGCACATCTGAGACTTAAGTCTTGGAATAAAGTTCTAAAAACTGAACTTGATAAGCCTGACAAACATTTCATGAAAAATAAAATTAATTTCATGTTCATAAGTTCTTTTTATAGCTAATATTTAGCTTAAGTAACGTACACAACAACTGAACTAGTTATAGCTAATATTTAGCTTAAGTAAGGTACACAACAACTGAACTAATTATAGCTAATATTTAGCTTAAGTAACGTACACAACAACTGAACTAATTATAGCTAATAGTTAGCTTATATAATGTACACAACAACTAAACTAGTTATAGCTAATATTTAGCTTAAGTAAGGTACACAAACTTAACTAATTATAGCTAATATTTAGCTTAAGTAAGGTACACAACAACTGAACTAATTATAGCTAATATTTAGCTTAAGTAAGGTACACAACAACTGAACTAGTATCCTTTTCAGACAACTTCCATTTCTGTACAAATAGTCTGAAGTACTATACGAAATCACTTGTTCACCCAAACTTTCTATACACATAAATAATTTACAATAAAACAAATCTGTAAAGTATGAAATAGAATGAATTTCATGTTAATGTGGTAATTAAGAGGTATGACTAAACCTTAATAATAAAGTACTAACATAGAAGTAACAATTAAACTTACTAATAAAGAGCTAATACAGAGGTACTAATGAACCTTACAAAGAAGTACTAATGTAGAGGTACTATTGAACTTAACTAATAAGTACTAAGATCATTATTAACAATGTGATAAGTTATGGGTACTAATAACCTTAGTGACATGATGTATTAATTTAGTGGTTCTACTAAACCTTACCATTAAAGTATTAAGTTAGAGGTAATAATGAACATTACTACAAATGTGCTGAGTTAAGATAATACTGAACATTACTACAAATGTGCTGAGTTAAGATAATACTGAACATTAATAGCATTGTGCTGAGTTAAGGTAATACTGAACATTAATAACAATGTGATGAATTAAGGTAATACTGAGCATTAATAACAATGTGCTGAGTTAAGGTAATACTGAACATTAATAACAATGTGATGAGTTAAGGTAATACTGAGCATTAATAAAATTGTGGTGAGTTAAGGTAATACTGAACATTAATAACAATGTGGTGAGTTAAGATAATACTGAACATTAATAACAATGTGACGAGTTAAGGTAATACTGAACATTAATAACAATGTGCTGAGTTAAGGTAATACTGAGCATTAATAAAATTGTGGTGAGTTAAGATAATACTGAGCATTAATAAAATTGTGGTGAGTTAAGGTAATACTGAACATTAATAACAATGTGGTGAGTTAAGATAATACTGAACATTAATAACAATGTGGTGAGTTAAGGTGATACTGAACATTAATAACAATGTGACGAGTTAAGGTAATACTGAACATTAATAACAATGTGCTGAGTTAAGGTAATACTGAACATTAACAACATTGTGGTGAGTTAAGGTAATACTGAACATTAACAACAATGTGCTGAGTTAAGGTAATACTGAACATTAACAACACTGTGGTGAGTTAAGGTAATACTGAACATTAATAACAATGTGATGAGTTAAGGTAATACTGAACATTAATAACATTGTGGTGAGTTAAGGTAATACTGAACATTAACAACATTGTGGTGAGTTTAGGTAATACTGAACATTAACAACATTGTGGTGAGTTAAGGTAATACTGAGCATTAATAACATTGTGGTGAGTTAAGGTAATACTGAACATTAATAACATTGTGATGAGTTAAGGTAATACTGAGCATTAACAACATTGTGGTGAGTTAAGGCAATACTGAACATTAACAACAATGTGGTAAGTTAAGGTAATACTGATATTATTAATATAAAGTGTTGACCTTAAAGGTAATATTTAAAGACAATAATAATGTGCTTAGTTACAGGTATTACTGAAACCTCTCATATTGTAAAATAGATTGAAAATATTGAATGAGCGTTTGAAAATGATCAATGTAAACTTTATACTTCTCCATTCTTTATGTCAAATAATACACCATATCAAGTATTATTCACAACCACTTATTGATTTCCATTTCATATAATATCTAAATGTATTTTGACGAGATATCATTATAATATTTTACTACTACTCACTTCCATGAAGTAGAACAAGGCAGTGTCATTATAAAGAATGTCAGCTAAGTAGACACTACCACTGGTGAGGACGTCAACTTGGTATTTACAGTGAAAATTACTCCGAAGGAAGTCCGGAAAATACCTGTGCAGTACAAGAAGTCAGGTGATGTTCAATACAACTGTACAAGTAAACGCTACAAGATTTCGCTCGGTATCTTTCAAATTTTGAAGATTCTACAGCAAATTTGTATTTTAGACAAATGATAAAATTAGTAATTTTGAAAACACTTTGGGTCTTCTGAATAACGTAGACAGAATCATACAATCTAAATCTTGTAACACTGTTTTCACAGAAAATTAATTTGGTTATTTTTTGAGAAAAATTATAATGTATTTGTTTGTTTGTTGTTAAGTAAAATGCTACAGAAATAGAGTAATTTTGTTGTACCCACTATAGGTATCAAACATCGAATTTTTAGCATTATAAGCCCTCACACATTCCAATGAGTCACCAGGAGGCCATAATAATAACAACACTATTTTTGGGTGTGTGTCTGTGTAAGTACGTAAAAACATTTCTAATTATTTGCACAAATTTATTAGTCTTCTGTAAAGTTATCTATTTTGTTGTGTTCGAAAATAAACCTTGAAAACTGATTATCAGAAATACAGCAATTTTCTGTAAAATATCTTCTGCCAGTATCATTTTGTTTTGATAACTTAATAATGCTACTCATTTGCTACTGTAGTTATCTCGGGGAAAATATTTAAGTTTGTTTGTTTTGAAAGCAACACGAGAGCTATCTGCGCTAGCCGTCTTTAATTTAGCAGTGTAAGACTAGAGGGAAGACAGCTAGTCATCACCGCCAACTCTTGGGCTACTCTTTTACCAACGAATAGTGGAATTGACCGTCACATTATAATGCCCCCACAGCTGAAAGGGCGAGCATATTTAGTGGAACGGGGAATATTTAAATAATCACAATAAAAAAACAGTGGTTCATTGATGAAGTTAACTTAATCTATCGCTGGATAAGGTAGAAGAAAAAAACAAAACAATAGACCATACACTTATAACATACACTGATCATGGTAGTATACATGTAGCATCCAGTATAAATGCATTGTTATAAATATTATCTCCTTTTCAAAGCTATTATTTTATAATGGAAAAATACTGAGAGAAATGTATAATCAATTGTCAGATTACTGCGTTTAAAAATCTTTAGTTAAAAAATATATTTATGGTACCCCGAGGATGACATAATCTTGTCGAAACATTGTACATTTATAATAAAGTTTTTCATTACCCAGTAAAGCCGTCTCAAAACTTTTATTTTTTAAAAAGTGGGTTATTCGTTATCAAGTCTTAAATACACAAATACATACACATACGGAGAAATATATGACCTGCTTTACACTAATGACAAAATTAATCCAACTTTCATATCTAAACAATTAAACACGTTAATTTATTACTGTGAAAAACAACAATGATTCTGAGGGCCTCTCAACTTCGGCCATTATATAATTATATTACAATTAAAAACAAAAGCACAATAAACAGGTGGTTCTAATGCATATGTCTTCCAAAAATAGAATTCTTAGTTAGTAAAAACCACTGAAATGTCAATGAATGGAAAAACAAACTATCTTTTAACATAAAGATATGGACAAATAAACGTGCTTCTAAATTTAAATAAAATAAATCAACCTTAGTTTTAATAACAGTGAAAAATTACATAAAGTTCTTACATACGTCCAGATCGGACATCGCTATTTAAATGAAAATTATCAAGATACGAGACTCATATTATTAAAACAGCTCTAAAAATCAAAAACCAAATATGGCAAGAAATGTAATGAAAATAATTTCAAAAGACATACTTACTCTGTTTCCATTTTCTCTACTACAAAGGCTTGAGCATCAATAAAAGTATCTCCTGCAATATTACCATCTTCCTGACATATCTTACCTTGATTAAAGAACAGCAAAAAAAAAATAATTTATAGAATCTGGAACTAGAATGGTCGGTACACATGTACTTTAAAACCTAATCTTTTAATCGATGATCTACAAGAAAACATTAAATGTTTAGCATATTAACTCTTCAACCAAATATAATTATGTATCAATTGAGAGCTAATTATTGAAAACAATTATGTGGCCAAATACTGCCTTCGATAATAATAATAATAACACTTTTACTACACTCTTAAATGTGACCTGATAACAAAATTTCAAAAGAAAATTTATATGCATGCTATATAAAAAAAAACTGTAGTTGTGTCATGTTTTTATTAAAGAAACATAAAAATAACATTTATTCTGGACCCAAGCACAATTCCTAGTTCAGTTCTGCCAGAGACGTAATGTTTAATTGCAGCTCCACCACAAGGCCGTTACATTTTGTTTTAATAATATGTGTTATTATTAAATGAGAAAAACGTGACATGGCCATTATTGTATTAGCAATATCAACTTCTATGTCAGGGAAATATGTATCTTAATAAACGCAGCACAAATAGATAGTAATCAGTAAAACAGAAAAGTTCAACCAAAATTCATCAACAAGCATATTCAGCATTAGTTTTTGACACTGCTGAATATTTTGAAAGGGTCTGATCAAAATTCATCAATTAAAGCGTGTCCCGTATGTTTTTTGGCCACTGTTGAATATTTTGAAAGGGTCTGATCAAAATTCATCAACTAAAGCGTGTCCAGTATGTTTTTTTGGCCACTGTTGAATATTTTGAAAGGGTCTGATCAAAATTCATCAACTAAAGCTTGTCCAGTATGTTTTTTTTTGCCACTGTTGTATATCTTGAAAGGGTCTGATCAAAATTCATCAATTAAAGCATGTCCGGTATGTTTTTTGGCCACTGTTAGATCTCATGCAGGTTCACAACAATGGAAAAAGACTTGCTTGTAGCAAGAGATATTTCCATCCTCCTTTATAGGTCGAAGATAGTAAAGTACACTAATTATATGCATATACAAGGAAATGTTGTGTTTTATTAGTATTCTCTCACATGTAAAAATATAAGATTTTGACTAATAAAATCATGCACATGGAAGTCATGTATTACTTGTTGATACACACATTACCTTTATTACCTGTTTGCACATATATATTGTTAGGATGTATATACTTATCAATAACCAAGTAGCCCATGGTTTCTGGTAAATAAATTCAATATTTTATCAACAATACGTTTCTTTTCTATGTTTTATAATGCTGTACTCACCAATAATCTGATTATGTAGCTCGTGAGTTATGCCTATTGAATGAGGAGCATCCTGAGCTATATACTTGCTATAAATATGGATGGCATCTTCTTCTAGACCTGCAAATCCAACATACATTGCTGTTGACGATATCGAACAAAGTAAATTAGGGATCAAACAATTATTGGAATATAATTTGCCAACAGTTAAGTAATAAATTAAAAACTACTGAAGGTGATATTCATGATCTTTCTTTTGAAAAATCATAACACACTAATCTTGTAAATGAACCACTCTTGGCTTTTCACCCTGTTAAAGACCTGCTTTTTTTTTCTATATGGAGTTTTTTGCTCCTAAAACACAATTCACAACTGCCTGTTGTAATATTCAATTAAAGAACTGAAAATGTGCAGTAAAAATAAAGTTTTCATTATGACGAAAAGTATAGGGTGATTCAACTATATGATGGTTAATCACCGTCTGGATTCTTAAATAACAGTATATCAAGCTGCTCCACCATGATTCCCAGCGTCTACCTGCTAGTTTGGATATATTTACAGAAATATCAGTCTACCTTTAGCTCGGGGGTATCTACAGACATAATATAGCTTAGGATCATAAGTATACCTTTAGTTTGGTGGTGTCTACAGAAATATCACAGCTCAGGTATAGGAGTCTATACCTTTAGTTTGGTGGTGTCTACAGAAACATTACAGCTCAGGTATAGGAGTCTATACCTTTAGTTTGGTGGTGTCTACAGAAACATTACAGCTCAGGTATAGGAGTCTATACCTTTAGTTTGGTGGTGTCTACAGAAACATTACAGCTCAGGTATAGGAGTCTATACCTTTAGTTTGGGGGTGTCTACAGAAACATTACAGCTCAGGTATAGGAGTGTCTAAAGTAATAACACAGCTTTTAAGTTTACGTTTTTGTTTGGGTGTATCTAAAACAATATCATAACTCACAGATACAAGTCTCTAGATAGATTTCTACAGAATGTTTCTTAAGTAACCAAATTTGTGTGTGGGGGTGTGTGGGGGTGTGTGTGTGTGTGTGAAAGTAGTTTTAAGGGGTTGAAATTCAAGGTAAGCTGGAACACTGCATGCATGATTTGAGTGAGAATTATTGTATATCAGAGTGAAATCAAGCCACATTTTACCAGCAAAAGACTTGACAAATGGTTATCAGGAATTTGTTTTTTAATTCAGAGTGAAATCAGGCCTAATTCTAATAGTAAAAGACCTGATAATGGTTGTCAGGAATTTGTTTCTATAATATACAATGTACAGAGTGTTGTAACAAATGATAAACAGATTAGTATATATATCCATTGTAACAGACACTTTCTATACTGACATATAGCCATTCATAACATAACAATAAAGGACAAAAAGGTACCATCTGTTTCATCTAGGTCATCCTATCTGCTAAATTAAACTAAATAATAAAAACACTCAAAGCCAGCTCCTATTATTCAAATGGTTAGTACAAAGCCTTCCCTTAAATCTAAAGGCAACCATTCCAAAGGCCAACCACCAACATATGTCTTCCTATACAGTAACAGACCCTTTTGTACACAGTAGCGTTTTAACAACGCCTTAAATACAGCACATGTAAATGCATTTTTTTTTGTAACATGAATGTTTTAACAAATAGCAGGAAGTTCTTGCTAATAAAACTTCTCGATTAGTGGTAATAACAATTCTCACGTTTAGTTTAGTACAATTGTTCCTTTTAATTGTAAATAGGTGTTTCACACAAGTGTCGTTTTATATTATTTTAAGCGAAGACCACTTTCAAACACATGCATAACACAACCAGATAGAATATTTTATATAACGAAACAAACTTTTTTTTTTACCTGGCCAATTTCTGTTACACGAATGATGCTTCTCACAACACACTATAAAAATTGTTTCAATAAATTTCATTAAAATATTGCCAAATTAAAATGTCAATGAAAAGTTTGAAATCATGGCTAGAAGAAAGAGTGTAAAGGCTGGGTAAGGGTTTATTGTTTGAATGTAAAGCATTTGTTAATTTAATTACACACATTTCAAGCATTGTAGCTATTAATTAATTTGAAAGCCTTTGTGAATGTGTATAGTTTAGTGAAAATGGTTTCAGGAAAATATAGCCTACATGTAAACTGCTAGTGAAAATGGTTTCAGGAAAATATAGCCTACATGTGAACTGCTAGTGAAAATGGTTTTAGGAAAATAAAGCGTACATGTGAACTGCTAGTGAAAATGGTTTTAGGAAAATAAAGCGTACATGTGAACTGCTAGTGAAAATGGTTTTAGGAAAATAAAGCGTGCATGTAAACTGCTAGTGAAAATGGTTTCAGGAAAATAAAGCATACATGTAAACTGCTAGTGAAAATGGTTTTAGGAAAATAAAGCGTACATGTGAACTGCTAGTGAAAATGGTTTTAGGAAAATAAAGCGTACATGTGAACTGCTAGTGAAAATGGTTTTAGGAAAATATAGCCTACATGTAAACTGCTAGTGAAAATGGTTTCAGGAAAATAAAGCATACATGTAAACTGCTAGTGAAAATGGTTTTAGGAAAATATAGCCTACATGTAAACTGTTAGTGAAAAAAGATAATTTTACTACAAACTTTTCACACCGGCAGCAAATTCTTAATACATCCCTGAGAAGAGATAAGAAATAATAATAATTATTATTACCACCATATTACATACTAGTATAAGTAAATAATCTGATAATTAATTGTTCCCCAAAATACTAGAATAAGGCCGTATTTAATTGTACAAATTGATTACTGTGCATATAATGTTAGGATTTCAGTTATATATCAAGATTTCTATTTGTATATGTGCACTGCCTTACACTTTATTAACTCTTTTTCACAGCCTTACTCCTGTGCCTTTTGTACGTTAGGGTCTTGTAACGATAACTGTACATTCACCTACTTACATGATGCAAATGGTTCCCATCTCATAAAAATGGCTGAAATTTAAACCTAACAGCACATAATATAATACAAAACTCCAAAGCAGCACAAATTCACATAATTTAGCCATATGGTTTTAAAGTAAACACTTAGACACATGTATCAGGTCTGTTAATTACAACCCCAGGAAAAATGACTAATACAATAGACTAGGTTATAAAAAAAAGTAGTTATAATTTTTTCTATAGATTTATTATTCATATTTTCAAAACAACTTTGAATTTTGGTTAATATATCAAACCTTCTCTAATAAATCCTCTTTAACAAAGATTAAATGGCAACTTTACACGTCGTAGCGAAAGTTAAAAACTATATTATTGTATTATCATTTTAATACAACTGGTACATTTTTATATATCGTACTCACTATTTTTCCTTCGTTCCCCCTTCACTGCATCTGGCCTGTGATGTGGTGTATTATGGTGTGACTTACTAGGTCTAGGTTCTCGATCCTCACAACTTAAAACAGTACCTTCAGTATTACTACATTCAACACTTACACTAGTATTTACATCGTAAGTAATTGAATCTGAATTTCTAATTTCAATAGTTTTACTAGTTTTTTCTGAAATGTGAAGTTGTCGTGAACTTCCAGAGTCTGAATCACAACTAGCAACTTGACAGGAACTAACTGGTGATCCTTTATCACTATCCGACTGGAAGACACAAGGCTGAACTTCGACAGAATCGCACACTGTGATGTTTGTAGTTCCACTTTGTACTCTTTCACATTGGGAATGCACTATGTTTTCATCTTGCCTCTGAAAAATAAAATACAGGTATGCGTTAAACCTACACATTATTAAACAAAAAAAAAGGTATCCTTCTGTGTATTCTTAACATAATATTACAGAAGTTTATAAAATAGCCATAAATCACAAAAACGTTGTAATTAGAATGTTATGTTCTATGGTTCTCAGTCACTGTTGAAAAACTTCAGTTATTTGGTTGAGTCACTGAATGCTGCATTCAAATTCCTTTTCAAGATCTTTTAACCTTTTAGCTTATATTTAGACCAATAACAAACATTTTAAAGCTGATTGACTACAGAACTGTTATTTAAACATCTGAACTCTATTCAATATAAAACCTTTGATGTTACAGGTAAAGTCAGATTTTGTATAGTATGAACACTTACCATTTTATGTTTTCAGTAGAATAATTAGATTTACACAAAAGTTTTTTTTTTAAATCTTCTCCGAGGGAAAGACATAGTTTATCGGTGCTTCTTAGATATAATTAAGTACATTAAAATGAAATATGAGGCCTATAAATAAGTAAACAGACCAATTGGATTACATTTCACTCATGGGAAGGATTTGGAATGAGGGTGCTCTTGAAGTTGGATGTTTGGGATACTTTTACAGAGAATGATTGAAAATGAAACACAAATGCTCGCTGGGGTTCACATCTGGTGATTGGACTTGTCATGAGAGAATGGTAATGCCCTGACCTTCAAGTCATCATTTTGTAAATGCATAAAAACACTGCCTAGTCTGATAAGCTAGTCACTGGCATAGACAATTAAAGATTTCGCTCAATAATTGCAGTGACCATCCCTTTATAGTTGTGATCATCCAGCATCCTAGATGGCAAACCACATCATAACAAAAATACTGCTATATCCTATCATGGCTAGTAAATAATTCAAAATGTTCCTGAGAAAACAGTTGCCAAACTTAGATACATAAACTGTCCAAGAATTTTACAAATGTGGACCTGTCAGAAAACAAATAGTGTCCAAAAAGGCAGGATAATGTAAAAATATCTGTGATACCCACCATTATCAATATACAATATTACCAGAAGTGACAAGCAGCATCCATCTAGCTACTCTACTACTGTATACCAGAAGTGACAAGCAGCATCCATCTAGCTACTCTACTACTGTATACCACAAGTGACAAGCAGCATCCATCTAGCTACTCTACTACTGTATACCACAAGTGACAAGCAGCATCCATCTAGCTACTCTACTACTGTGTGCCACAAGTGACAAGCAGCATCCATCTAGCTACTCTACTACTGTATGCCATAAGTAACAAGCAGCATCCATCTAGCTACTCTACTATTGTATGCCACAAGTAACAAGCAGCATCCATCTAGCTACTCTACTTCTGTAGTCCATGCTGTTAAGATAATTTCTGTTAGTATTAGATTACACTTGCACCTGTCATGCAACAGTAACAGCCATCTTGTATGGTCAATTTTTCCATAAATCTCTATACCGTATGAAACGTTTATTGTGTTGGTTTGTGGCACCTAGACTGTGAAAAAACAGTTTTTTCCTGACATAACCGGAACTGCACTGTCACCCTATTCACTGTGGACAGCAGTATTTCAAGTGATCCATCAATTTCTCACTGTACACTAACCATCCTCAAACTGTCCAACTATACAACCTCGTGAAAATATGGTACATCCCCCAGGAAACCTTTTAGTTCATGAAGTGGCTCTATTCTGTCCTTTACTGAGCCATACCTGTATTCACGCACTGGATGATATGCATATGATGTCATGAAGGTTGTCAATTTGTATTCTCAGGGGATTTAGTTTTACTTACTGGTAGGCTGTGTAGGTTTGTATTACTTTAAAATAAATCATTGTTAAATTTCACATATCCAAAATTTATGTACGTTCCAACAAATGTGTATACACTGCACTACAAACATAGCCTTTGTAGATTCAGAAAATCACACTAATCTCACTATAAACTGATTTTATTAGGTGCTGTTAGAAGGATAGTAAACACTGCCTACTAAAAGCAATTTTTATAGGCAATATTTAATCTCTTCTACACTGCAATGTACCAACAAGTCACTCAGTTTAGAACTCATGATCTGATCAGTCCAGCTTAAAAAAAAAAATTCAACAGATATCAATAATGTACAGTTCAAACTCAGGAGTATATGAAACAAATATCCTTCAATGGGTCCACGACAAAATTTTAACTTATTTGATATAATGAATACACTGTCATCTTGTACATTAAGCTGTTGACTACACTGTTAATATATACATTTCTCATATCACATTTTAAGTACATTTTGTCAAACTGTATATTGCATTATCTACATTGTACACAAACATGCTTCGACATGATCTGTTTCCTTCAGGTATATTAAGCAATGCAGGGTTTATATATAGTTACAAAGACAAAAGACACAAGGTTTAAACGTGATGGATATGACAAGTGGTGAACAGACCTTGTCAAATATGGCTGATGTTGCTAGGGCCATTATCACAGTTTAGTGAGAGGTCATTTTCTTTGATGATTTCTATAGTTTCTAAACAGTTTCTTTCAGCATTAGACATTTGAGAATCATATGTTTACCACTTTAATTTTATCAATTTGGTAAACCTTTGTGCAGCAAAACTTACATTGTGTTTGTGTATATATATTACCACAACATATTTTATAGTTTAATTTCATGTTTGTTCTACAATGATTATTAGAGCTATCGCACAATAACATGTCAACAATAAATAACTATATATTACCACAATATACTTTATAATTTAATTTCATGTTTGTTCTACAATGATTATTAGAGCTATCACACAGTAACATGTCAACAATAAATAACAGTATATATTACCACAACATATTTTATAGTTTAATTTCATGTTTGTTCTACAATGATTATTAGAGCTATCACACAATAACATGTCAACAATAAATAACTATATATTACCACAACATATTTTATAGTTTAATTTCATGTTTGTTCTACAATGATTATTAGAGCTATCGCACAATAACATGTCAACAATAAATAACTATATATTACCACAACATATTTTATAGTTTAATTTCATGTTTGTTCTACAATGATTATTAGAGCTATCGCACAATAACATGTCAACAATAAATAACTATATATTACCACAACATATTTTATAGTTTAATTTCATGTTT